GAGAGGTAAGAATAACTACTCCAAAGTAATTCCATTAGCTTGTGTCTTTAGTTATCATCAGGTTCAATGTTTGGCTACGTATGTCTTCTCTCTAAAAGATTTATACAAGGTCTCAACTAAACATGTCCTTTGTTCATAAAACAGTCATTATGATCCCTAGAAAGTGAGTAACATTTGGATGAAGTGAGCAGTTTGGCAATGTTTTCTACTTAACAAATATAATCTAAATATCAGAAACAAAGTGAGGATACAGTGTTGCCTATATGAAACAGTCTGAGTTGACAAAGAAATGTCCTTTCTTTGTTGGCACTCAACACTACATGGGATCCCAGGGAAACAGGTAACAGTAATTCCTTCTCAGAATTTTTTGTCTTGTAAATAAACTTTTATCCTAGGGCTGTTCCCACAAGCTGCTTCATTTACTAACAGATCCTGGTTCATATGCCAATACAATTTCACCAAGGGATATGCTGCCAGGCTTTAAGAAGGGAATCAACTCTAATAAACTCCCAGGAATAGAGACCACCACCTTGTACTGGGGTGTTTTGGGACAGGCTGAGGGCGTGTGACCTGAACATCTGCACATGGGAAGTGTGTTCCCTCTATGTTGAGTATTCATGGAAGCCGACTCCCCTGAGGAGTCACATTCTCCTTCTGATTCAGAACTTGCTTTAAACACTGAAAGAAAGCAGTAGTGCCCCAAGAAACATGGACACCAAGGAACCCTATCATATCCTTTCATAGTTGTGCTACTTCCCTGTATTAGCTGACCACATATGGTGAAATGATGATGCAGAAGGAAAGGAAAAAGCATAGCCTCTTTTCCTGCCAATCCTCTCTTGCTAATCAATAAACTGACAGTACAGAGCATTGGTAGAATATGTGCACATGAAGAGTGACTACTCAGTTGGTTTTGTGTGGTGTTCCCATTCTTCTGGTAAGAACAAAATATATACGCCTGCATAAGCCATGAAATATGAATTGCATAATTTTGTTGATTCCATATATAAGCTAAATACTCATATTTGCACATTAAACTGGCATTGCACAATATAAACAAAAATGGTATGTACACAAACATGCCACCCCAAATGCACTTGATCTTGTCTGACCTCAGAAGCTAAGCAGGATTGGGCCCAGCTAGTACTTAGATGGGAGATGAGTGATAAAATAATGCTAAAAATTTAGGGGCTGGGTGCGGTGGCTCACACTTATAATCCCAGCACTTTGGGAGGCTGAGGTAGGCGGATCGCTTGAGGCTAGGAGTTTGACACCAGCCTGGCTAACATGGTGAAACCCCATCTCTAACAAAAATACAAAAAATTAGCAGGTGTGGTGGTGTGTACCTGCAATCCCGGCTACTTGGGAGGATGAGGCAGGAGAATAGCTTGAACCCAGGAGTTGGGGGCTGCAGTGAGCTGAGATCATACCACTGCACTCCAGCCTGGGCAACAGAGCAAGACTCTGTCTCAAA